GTCCATATCTACAATACCACAAGTGAGATTTGTCTTCTGTGATAGTTTGAAAACACGTGGACAGCTCAGGCATCATTCTAGCAAGTAGAACAAACATTCGATTTGCGGTCATTTCAGTGTGCATGATAAACCCCCTTCTTGAATGATAAATTTTAAATCTACAACCTTACATTTCCCTTTCCCACGACTTCCATCCTGGAGTTGTTCCCCAACTTGACTGTATGCATGTATTGCTCATCAAGATCCGAAAACCAGTCTTTATTGCCGCTCATGTGGTTGTTGCACCCTGAGTCGAAAAAACCATAATTCTTTGTTTTGCACAGTGAGTTTCTACATACGTCTTAGTAGCATTTCTTCTTCCTCATCAAGCTCTGCATAGTTAGCTCTTTTCTCCCAGCTAGGGCATTCATATTGAAAATGCCCCAGCTTATGACATTGTAGCATTCAACTAAAGCTTTGTTGAACATTTGTCTTCCTCGGCCTCGACCTCTTCCTTTAGAGCCTCCACGAGGTCTTCCCGTTCCTGCAACTTGTACCCTTATTTTCCTTTAGCCTTCTCTGTATTGGTGACTTTTAGAACATGTTCCTCTTCTTTGTGGCCTCGCATTCTCTGCTCATGCAAAAGCAGGCTTTGCAGTTCATCTATGGTCATGGTTTCAAGATTATTGGACTATTCGATTGAGCAAACAAAATAATCAAATTTGGAGGTCATCGATCTGAGAATTTTCTCAACAATAGTCTTTGGTCCATCATTTCACCATGCGTCTTCATCTTGTGACAATGGTGAGTATTCTAGCAAAGTATTCATAACAGTTTTTCCCTCTTTAATCTGTAAAATTTCATACTCCTTTCGAAGAGCCTATAATTGGGCTCGCTTAACCTTGGTATAACCTTGGTATTTTTGCTTCATTGAGTCCCAAATTCCTTTCGCAATCTCTTTATTCAGGATGGTCTCCATAATTGTTCTATCTATAGCTTGAAATAGATAGTTTTTAACTTCAAATCCTTTAACCTTGATCATCAACAGCTTTGCGTTGTGCCTCTGTAGGTTCTGCTCCCTCTGGTATTGTTGGAATACCATTCTCCACCAAGGTCCAGTACTCCTTTGATCGAATAATTTCTCCATGAGCATGGCCTAATGGTCATAGTGACCATCGAACTTGGGAATTCCAGGTTGAACATAACTTCCCTCCGTAGTCATAACTGGACCTCTCTTTACGCTTCTCTATTCTTCTCTTTTTTTCTGATCTCTCACTTACTCAAGAAAATTACAGTTTCTCACACTTGCTCACTCTTCCCTCTGATACCAGATGTAGAGTTTTAGACTGTAAATCAGAAATACACAATCTTTTGGGAGAATAACTTCTTATTCGATTTAAGATCAGGCTTGACTATTTATAAGCCTTTACAAAACAACTGAAAGATAAATATGTAGCCACGTTTTCAGATCCTACAAACGTGGTAACAAACATGGTAAGTGGTTGGAAGACTAAATCAAATCAAACTAATGACCCTATCAAATAGGGATTATTAACAAATCAGTAAAACAACTAAAATCCTAACTTCAACACACCAACATTCAATTAAAATATGATAACCGGTTGAATCTAAACTCAATAGACACTCTTAATACAACATATTGAAAATCAAAATAAAATATCATATTAAAATTTAGAAGATCAATTATATTTTTTTCTTTTGAATAATGTAAGATAATTATAATATAGTTTGAATCTTCTGCAGCTATTGTGTTACACACTCTGTAGACGTAACTATTCAATAAAAAACTTTTAAGAAGAGCAACACTTTCTTTTAGCACCGAAGTCAAATCTAACAAAACAATTAGTCTAAAATCTGGTATTTAACAAAAAAACACTACCAGAAATGACCAACGGATGACCATAAGATATTTGAGGGTTTCTAAAAGAAGAAAGCTTTCCTTTGAAATATGCAGTAATTATACCTCTCAAATAGAGCAACCAAAACACCACAATCCCACTAAAACGAAGTCGAAATGAAAGAAGTTTCCCAAGATATAGAGCGAGTAATATGAAGATGAAAATGGTTGAGGCTACAATATTCCTTGTATTTCTCATGGCCATTATCCTGAGTGAAACAGCAAGGGATACGACGGTGAAAAATGAAGTTTACAGCCCCAAGGTCTCCTTGGTCCTTGGGGCCTTAAGCCACCATGGCTTGGACTTGGAGGATGATGCGGAGGCCTGTTTCCCTTCCTTGGAATACCTAAAGCTGGTGCACCCATGAATAAGGCCACTAAAGCTGATGTCTATGGCAATGGAAACGTCATTGACCCATCGCCATGACCTACCGGTTGAGTCAGTAGTCACAGTGTTCACAGCTACCAGTTACACCGTCGCTATTAATAAAAAGTGCCGTAATCCAAGACTCGATGCCTTATGGTTTAATGTAATTGTACCATCTAGTTTGAGTAGGAGCTATGTCTTGTACCTTAGTACTTGAATCAATGGAAAGCTCACAAGCTTCTGGTGCTCTTTCCTTCATGACATCATCTGATAACAAACAATTAAGAAAAGGGTAGAGTATATAAATGGTCACTGAACTTTTTAGATGCTTGCATTTAGGTCCCCAAATTTTAAAACTTGCAATACAGTCACCAAACATTTAGTTCGTTTGCAATATGGTCCCCGACGTAACGGTCGTTTCACTGTGTTAGGGTAAATTATATAAATAGTCACTGAACTTTTTAGGCGCTTGCATTTAGGTCCCCCAATTTTTAAAACTTGCAACACAATCATCAACTACATTCTAAACCCCAAAATCCAAAATGCTTCAATTACATCCTAAACCTCAAATTCTAAAATACTTTAATTATATGCCCAACCCCAAATTCACAATCCATTCTCAAAATCTGCCATAACAAATTGAACTTGAAATAGCAACCCTAAACCCTCAAAACATAATCGTTTCAAAACATTTAACCAACTATAAGTGAACAACAAGTGATTTTGTTGGGCTTAGGGTTATGTTGGACCTAAATACTCAATTCAGTTTATAAAATAGTTGACTCGATTTTTTTTATTTGAGTTTATGAAATTTAAATCAAGTCGAATTGAATTGAATTTTCTAGTTTCTATTTAAATTCAAAACATTTAACCAACTATAAGTGAACAACAAGTGATTTTGTTGGCTTAGGGTTATGTTTGGACCTAAATACTCAATTCAGTTTAAAAATAGTTGACTCGATTTTTTTTATTTGAGTTTATGAAATTTAAATCAAGTCGAATTGAATTGAATTTTCTAGTTTCTATTTAAATTTAATTATAAATATTTATCATATATAATATTATTTTATTCTAATTCAGTTCAATTTATAAAATAGTTGACTCGAAATTTTTCAATTTGAGTTTATAAAATTTAAATCAATCGAATTGAATTGAATTTTTCGAGTTCTGTTTAAATTTAATTATAATATTTATACTATATATATTATTTTTGATTCTAATTTAAATAGTTTTTTTAACTATATACAATACATATATTTCTTCATATTTTTTTCCATATGTGATATACATATATCATGCAGAGTCAAGAGACTTAACTCAAACTTAAAAATTAATCCACTAATTACTAAAAATTTTAAGATATTCAAGTTTTATTTTACAACTCGATTTTAACTTAAATTTTTAAGTTGAGTTTATGAATTACAACTCAAAGTCAATTTGTATCAATTTTTTGAATCAATTCAAGTCGAAAAATAAGTTTTTAGAATCAAATTGAGTATTGTTCACTATAGTTGATTAAATCTAACTTTTAAATCCTAAAACCAACATAATCACTTATTGTTATGGACCCAAAATGAACTAAATATTGTTGATGTTGGGTTAATTGGTGGGGAAATTTAGTATTAGGGTTATGTTTTTAAGGGTTTAGGGTTGATTCTTCAATTTAATTTGTTATGGTAGATTTTGAAAATAAATTATGAATTTGGGGTTGATCATGTAATTGAAGTATTTTTTGGAATTTGAGGTTTTGAGTGTAATTGAAACATTTTGAAAGTTGAGGTTTAGAATGTAATTGATGACTGTGTTGCAAGTTTTAAAAGTTGGGAAGACCTAAATACAATCACCTGAAAAGTTCAGTGACCATTTATATATTTTACCCTAACGGCAGTGAAACTGCCGTTACATCAAGGACCATATTGCAATCAAACTAAATGTTTGGTGACTGTATTACAAGTTTTAAAAGTTGGGGGACCTAAATGCAAGCATCTAAAAAGTTCAATGACCATTTATACACTTTACCCTTAAGTAAAAGCTACTATATGTTCCATGTGGTCGTTTAAGTTCAACATAGGTAATTTAGGGTACCACCTTTCAAGCTTGCCAAACGCAGTTCACCATTTCCAGCAAAACAGGCCAACAACCGAGACTGATCAGTTCATGAACCTTGGCGTGAGGCATAATATAAGGGAGTCTAGAACCACAAGCAACATTCATTGATTTTGTTTTATTTTACTGTACATAATATTGTTTGTCTAGGTTTTAGTTCAAGTAACAATGAAGTTGGGTGAACAAGTTATCAACAGGAAGATCTGCTATAACATAAGTTAAAGCTGCACATCTTGGAAACTCTGAAGTTCAAAAACAGCTCCATGATGCGCCAACTGCATTGTTTCTCTTTTGCAATGGCAGTTTGTATTATCCCTGAAATAAAAAGTAATCATAATCAGAACGTAATTTGAAAGAATGAATAATATCATTAAAAAAAGTGCCACAGAATTGAATTTTTTAAAGCCCTGTACCATGGCAATAATAAAATGTTTTAAAAAATTGCAGAGTAACAGTATATAAAATATTCACTTTGACAGCATTTGAATTCACTTTCTTTCGGTAATAGATATTATCAAACCAAAAAGACACACACACATGCACATAGAACAGCAGATTTACGTCACTATTCGAGCATGAAGCTCACTTTCAGCTGGTTGATGAAAGGAAGACCCTAATTAGTTCCTTCAGAGTCACTTTTTTCCTTCACGTTGGGTATTTTGGCCGTGCTGCTATAGCAGCTTTGATGCATGCCTTGCAGAAAATGTGTCCACATCTTGTTGACATCTCCTCGTTTAATGAACACATGCAAATCGGACAGTTGAAGGTTGGCTCCTTGGGAGAAGGTTGTGGCCTAGTAATTTCCTCCACCTGCCAATTATTTAATTAGTAAGCCATAAGCATTCATAACTTTAATAAATCCAGAAGGTCAACTGCACGAGAGCATGTGAATGGAAAGAAACAGAGATGTCCATTCACAATGTCTTAGATTTGATTGCCAGCCAAATATGTACATTCTGCATTCGAAAATATCTACCTGTCATCTTTCAAAAGCACCAAGAAATGAGTTCTTACCATAGACCGCGGTGAACTCTCCAAATTGATATAATGATCACAATCGATAACAGTTGGGCTTGATAAATCCCCTGCATCTGTTCTGGTTATTATTCGTTGACGAGCAGGCCACCCTGGAAGAAGGAGATGTAAGATACAACAACTTCAAAAACCTAGTAACTACGGTACAGCACTTCAACTAGAAAAGAATAAATGAAATAAATAAAGAACCACCACACTCCAAGTTGATTGACCTACCCAGTCACACAAGAAATATAAGATTGAACTAGACCAGTTTACCACAAAATAACAATTACCTCACTTGAAGTAAATATTTGTTTTACCTAGTACTTGAGCCATCAATAAACAATAAACTAACCTCACAAGCTGCAACTTCTGAATAAGGGCAAACAGCTAGCTTCAAAAACCAGAGAAATGCGTGTATATACTACAATCCCCTCAATAAACTAATATAGACTACAGTGTTATTAAATATTAATATAATATTACAGTACCATTCAATGCCCACTTCTAAATGTAAAAGCAGCTGCACACAAACGATGTTCTAACTTCTAATAACCAGAGATTTAAATAGTATTCGTTGTCACGTTTTTGGTCGCGTCGTGTTTTTCACATTTGCGAACATAACGGAAGTCATTGCGAATGTCGCGATCGTAAATTTTTTTAAATGTCGCACAACTTACCCTAAAATGACTAATTAAATATAATTAAAATAAAAATTTAAAATTTAAATTGAAGAAATTAGATTACCGAAATTAGGACTAAATTAAATAAAAATTAAAGTTTACATTTTAAACTATGGATTAAATTATAAATTCTAAAAGGTAGGAGGGGTGTCAAATTAATATATCATTTAAAATTATATTTAAAAAATAAAACAAATGTGCCAACTCCCCCTCCCTCTTCCCCGACCTTTCATTGTGTGAAACAAAAAAAAATTCTGCTATCACTCTGAACACCCCCTTCCTCCTCCCCCACCTTTCATTTTTTTAAACAGAAAAACAAAAGTTTCAAGTTTCATCTTTTACAAAGTGGAAGCCCGTCGTTACTGCTCAACTTCTTCACCGGCGGAGAAGCTCGACGGCGCATGTAAGGTTTCAGTTTTGCCTTTTTTTTCACAGTAGCGGTAGATAACAATAATAGTGTCCCGTTATCAGCACTATACACTGTTACTCGTTAAATTGCGGGCGCAACTGGCTGCTATTGACGTGATTCCTTTACACACCGTGTTTTTCCCGAATATCGGTTTTGGACGGCGGCGCTACCGTGAAATAGCGGCCACTATTGCAGTTGCGTTCCGCTATTTGAATCCCTGCTAAGAACTCAAGGGCATATAAATCAAAGTAAGATTACCTCCGGTTTTATATCTGTTTTAGTGCAATCATCAAAAGTACATGAAGAAATATTTTATTAATGGGCTTCTTCTAGTGAATTATGGTGCGCATAATGTCACCTAGATTTCCACTTGGATTAAAATGTGTTCGGCAAACTGATTGTGATTGTAATGCTTCTAATTGCCATTTCACAGAAGTCACCTGAAGAGAATACATCCAGGTTCCTTTCACTTCTTTGTTAATCTTTTTTTTTTTTTCCATTTGGTAATTTTATCACATATAAATATAAATAAATAAAGAGAACTAAGTCCCTTATGATTCAACAAGGGATGGCGGGCTTAATTTTTCCTAAAGACCCATATCTCATAAAAATTATAAAACGCCCCAATCAAGATAGGAATCAAAATCTGCAGGACAAGTACCTCAGACTCTAACATTAATCAGGACATCAATAATGAAAAGGAATCTTTGGACTTCATGCAGATAAATAGAGCAAGGCAGTGCATTTAGATAAGCTTCTTTAATGCAACATGCTTCTACAATGCAGGGAGCACATTATAAAAAGGAAAATATTATGCACATCCACCCTTCATAATTTAACTACCTGAATCTACATCGACGACAGTCCTCCCACGGCTTCTCCTTGAATTGGTTTTAGCCTGACATAAAACCCCAGGAAGTTAATAACATCATGATACAATTGAATACGTAAAGACAGATTTCATGTACTGTTATGTAAAAACAAAATACAATTAACAAGAGACCATACCTCCGCGAATGCTATAGCAGAAGATTCAATTACATCATCATCGATAGTTTCAACATCAATAGTTGCAGGTGGCGCAGGCCGATCAATCAGTTCCTCAGATCCAGCCTGCTGGGAAGTACCCTCATGTTCCCTGATTTCACTGGGAGGCACATTTAGATCCAGCACTGCCTTCCTTTGTCGATACCTTCTAAGAGATGGACCCCTTGCTTCTAGAGTGCTCATGTTCAACCTATGAATATAAATTTATCTGTGCAGTATCCAAATACAGCAACCTTAATATAACCAAAACTGAAAAAACATACCTTCCTGATTTGTGTTCACCATAAATTTCAACATCGAGTTGTCACTACAAGCAATAAATTCTTTCACTTTATTGAAGTACGAGAAAAATAGCACTTGACAAGGAACTCACTAATCACTAAGTTTAATCTCAACAATAACACCAAATGGAAAACTCGTGAATTAGAACTCAAATGGTTTAAGAACACACATCAAACAATCAGACAAATGTAGCCAAAAAATCCCCAAATTTCAGCAAATGAACATCAATTAGCACACTAATACAATGAATAAAACAAACGGGACAAGAAAAATTAATGAAATTGACAAGAGAGCTTATGAGAGATAAGAGCAGTACCTTGAAATCATGCCCAAATCGAGAGGTTTTTTAGAATTCCATTTTCCCCTGGAAAAAATAAGAAAAGGGAAATTCGAAGAAAGAAGCGAGCGAAGGTAAGAAACCTCGTGAAAATCTTCTGTATCTAGGGTTTATAAACAGGACAAAGATTTTCAAGCTGAAATCGTTTGTCTCAACGTGGCTCGATTTCTCTGATGACTACATGTGTTATGTGTTTAACCACCATGAGAAATTTGTTTTATGAGAAAAATTAATCATCGTCGTAAAATCCAACCTCTATAAAATAATATTTAGGGTAAAGTATAGTAATGATCACTGAACTTTTCTAAATTTTTATTTAGATCCCTAACTTTTAAAACTTGCAATACAGACCCCCTACATTTAGTCCGTTTGCAATATGGTCCCCCAACATTTAGTCTGTTTGCAATATGGTTCCCGACCGTTTGACGCTGTTACACTGCCGTTATACGTTTGCAATATGGTCACTGAACTTTTTAGGCGCTTGCATTTAGATCCCCAACTTTTAAAACTTGCAACACAGTCCTAAATTTCATTCTAAACCCCAAATTCCTTTTCGATCTCAAATTTCCTTTTTCGCTTATCTCTTCTCATTTCCAGCGTAACTTTTCATTCAATGATGCATGGGAAATTCTAATCTAACTTTGAATTATGTGGAGGTGTTGACTTGAATAAGGGTCCATTGAGAGAAGACCCGACCAAGGGACTATTGGGACCATCAACGATTCAAGGTGTAATGTTAGATACAGGTCATCTCAGGTGAAGCATAGATGTTCGATGAAATGCTTGCGAGAAAAAAATGGGGTTAGAAACGCAGAGTTGACAAATACTACTAAGATGAACTAAGTATCATTGTTGAAAGTCACCAACAAAGCTGAAATTATTTTGTATAAATGACATATAATAATTTCTTCGTTTAATCCTTATACTTAAAGATTTTCCAACAGATGATCAAATATAATGAAATCCCAAACAGCGCATTCACCTCTCGTTTGGTTTTTGTTCTTCAATTTTCCGCCATGTAAAATTGTAAACCCAAACAATGCTCTATCTTTCAGCTTTTTATTTACAAAGAAAAAATGAAGGAAGAATTGCTTGAACGCAACACCGATTGCGTTTATTTCTTAGCCTTTCTCCTCACTTGCAAGAAGGTATTTATTTTCTCTTTTGGGCTATTCGGAAGTAAGCTTTTCCTTTTTCGCATTTTCCCATTTTTAGCTGACATTGTGTGTGTTTTGTTGAAATTTTTATGTTTCTGGAACTGCATGTCAATGATTTGGATATTCAGTGTTAGTTTTAAACCAAAACCATCTAATTTTCTTTCTTTCTTCTTAATCAAAACTTTTAGTACTTCTTATGAAAGATATTCAGTCTATCAGAAAATAAGTGAAATAGGGTCCTAGGCTAAATTTTTTTGATCTTCTTGTTTGGTTTTTCTTTAAATCGGGGAATTGGTTGTGAGTATCGACATAGTGAAATCGCCAGGCTCAATTCGAGAGACTGTTGGTACTAGTTTATTGGGAATTGTATTGATTCGACTTGTGGTTTTCGGCGTCATGTGAGCTCGTATTCTTTTTAATAAGTTCATGTTGATTATGAGACTGATATATCGTGAACGAATTAAATTTTTTTATATGTTTTGGAAATTTTACAGTTGAATTGTATTGAATTATAGCTTTAGAAGACAATTCTGCATGCACGCAACTCGAAAGACATCATGACAACGTGTATATTTGGAGCAGCTACTTGAACCTGTCATGATGCCTTTCGAGTTGTGAAAGAGACTGAGAGGTGAATGCGCTGTTTGGGATTTCATTATATTTGATCATCTATTGGAAAATCTTTAAGTACAAGGATTAAATGAAAAAATTATTATATGACATTTATACAAAATAATTCCAGCTTTGTTGGTGACTTTCAACAATGATACTTACTTCATCTTTGTAGTATTTGTCAACTCTGCATTTCTAACCCCATTTTTTCTCACAAGCATTTCATTGAACATCCATGCTTCACCTGAGATGACATGTATCTAACATTATACCTTGAATCGTTGATGGTCCCGATAGTCCCTTGATCGGGTCTTCTCTCAATGGACCCTTATTCAAGTCAACACCTCCACATAATTCAAAGTTAGATTAGAATTTTCCATGCATCATCGACTGAAAAGTTACGCTGGAAATGAGAAGAGAGAAGTGAAAAAGGAAATTTGAGGTTGAAAAGGAATTTAGGGTTTAGTATGAAATTTAAGACTGTGTTGCAAGTTTAAAAAGTTGGGGGACCTAAATGCAAGTGCCTGAAAAGTTCAATGACCATATTGCAAACGTATTAACAGCAGTGTAACGGCGTCAAATGATCGGGGACCATATTGCAAACAGACTAAATGTTGGGGGACCATATTGCAAATGAACTAAATGTTGGGGGACTGTATTATAAGTTTTAAAAGTTGGGGTACCTAAATGAAAGCTTTAGAAAAGTTCAGTGACCATTACTATACTTTACCCTAATATTTATTTAAAAAAAGTTTATCATTAACAAAAAACAATCAACACGTAATTGCTCAATTACAAAATATAGAATAATATTTTGAAAGGATTAAATGTATCATTGCCTAAAATATAAGATTTAAATCGTTATCTAATTTGTCATATTAAAAAGATCAAGAGTAAATTGCATATTTAACAATTCAACTATTCATACAATTTCATTTTAATCGCCCAATTTTTTTTTCAAAATCATCACTAAAACAATAAACCTCCTCTATGTTGGGGTGTTCAAAATTCGGTTTTAACCGAATTAACCGACCGAACTGAATTAATTTGGTTAATTTGGCTGGCGAACGAATTAGTTCGTTTGGGGAACGGTTAAAGATTTTTTTTTGGAATTCGGTTAACAGTTAATTCGGTTCTAAATCGATTAATTAACCGAATTAACCTTTAAATATAATTATATTAAGAGACTTAGTCGGCTTAATCCATAAAACCCAAATCAATATTAATTAATTAAAATGATCTCAAAACTAAATGCAAAATGTTTGAATCAAATTAATTAAATATTATTTATAATTAGATATTATTTAAATTAATTGTAATTTGTTTTTTTAAATTAAAAAATATTAAATTCTAAAATTCTAAAAAATTTCGGTTAATTCGAAAATTAACCGAAATTTATTCGGTTCGGTTTATACTTTAAAAAAAATTCAGTTCGGTTAACGGTTAAAGAAAAAAAAATTCGATTAATTCGGTTAAGGGTATTTCAATTCAGTCGGCCACCGTTTTAACTGAATGAACACCCCTACCTCTATGCAACAGTTTCCACAATGGCTCCTCTACCCAAATCACCACCTTTTTTTTTAACCATTAACATTAACCTTCATCCGTCCAAGTGCAACATAATCAACTTTCATCCCGTGGTTCGCAAAACAACCTTACCCAACATTGTTTCCAGGGACAAATCTACATGGTGTTTAGGAGGGGTTGGTGCCAGGGTTTCAAATCACGGTCGTGGTCGTGTTTTCGGTCATTTTGAGTTTTCCGTGATTGTGGCCGTCGCGGGCACTATTGGGCGCTATTACGGGTGTAATGGGTAACTCGGGCGACAGCGAAACCGCTATTTCGCAGACGAAATCACATTTTTAGACCGTGATTTGAAACCCCCATTGTTGCCCCTCCCAAACCTTTTGATATAATAGTATTTTAGGTCCTTTTTGGTTTAAATATTAGTTAAATAAAGCTTTTGTCCCTCCCAATTTTAGATTTAAATACTTAATAGATTATTATTCTTTTGACATAAATATTTTACCACCTTAACATTTCATCCTAGTTCCGTCATTGACCGTTCCCAAGGGAGAAAATGCATCGTAGGGTTGTATAAAGTGGGAAGATATCATAAATAGTAATACCCATTTCGTTTAAAGTTAAGTTAAAGACGGTGCCATTACTGAAAAGCAATGAAACAGAAGCATGGAGAGGATATGACAAAGATAAGCTTTTCCTGGACTCGTATGATCAATCGTATCTGATGTATTCGCTTTACGTAGAAAAAGAAACATTATGACCATATTTATTTAGGAGAATTTTATTTGGAAGGGTATTGGGTTGAGAATATTGGAGGGTATGAAAAACACAACAATAATGTATTTGGAAATCGAGAGAGGGGAACTAAAGTTAAGGAGGAGACATGCTGAGAAAGCGAATGAGCAGTGTCGTAACCGGTTTTCGCCCGGGCACGAAATTTTTATTCGGAGGGGAAAGTGATGTGAATAAATTGTTTTTAAAATGATTTGGGAGTCACCATCGACCTTTTGGGTCAGGTAGGTCGAATACATAAAAATTATCTTTTAAAAGAGCTTTTAAGAAAACATCAGTCAAAAGATAAACCGGTCTGCGTTTTAACCAAAGATTCGTTCTTTTTAATAATAAAAAGGGATTCGTGGTCGGTTACGTTTAGGGAAGGATTAACACCCCTACAACGCCTAAAATTGGTACTTTATTAATTATAAATTGTCTCTATTATTGGAAATTTTAAAAGTTCAAAAATATATTTAATTCATAATCCTGTTATTTCAATTTTATTAATGTAATTTTAAGAAA